CCCCCCCCCCCCCTCTCTCTCTCTCTCTCTCTCTCTCTCTCTCTCTCTCTCTCTCTTCTGTTGTCTCCTCTTCTCTCGTCTTGTGTTCTCCTCTCGTCTCTTCTCTGTCCTCCTTTTTTTTATCTTCTTGACGACAACTGCTGTACAGGGAGACAACCTCCGCTTCCGCGAGCACCGCAAGTTCCTGTCGGGGAGGATGTCGGGCCGCGTCAATGCCGAGCAGCTGGACACCCCCGCCGGCGGCGGCAGCGGCGGCGGCCCGACGGCCGGGACCTCTTCGCTCTCCGTTTACTCGGCACAAGCGGAGGTGCGGCGAAATAAACTTGTAGGGTCAAAGTAGCAGTGCCAACAATTTTTGTGACACTCCCCGGTCTGCCACACAGCAGTTTTTGGCGTTCATGAAGGGCGGAGAAACGCAAGTACCGAGTTGGTGCGTGTGTGAGGTGCCATCGACCGTGCTTACCGGCTGACCACGGGAACGTGTCTTGAACACTTACTACCATCGTTTTTGTTTTGTTTTTGTCAACTCCAATACGTTGCGCTTTGAATGACGCCAAGAGAGGAGTACGGCAGTTCAGCCATAAACGTTACCTTGTTGTCGGAAGAATCGAGCGTCAACCATGTTTGGAGGAGGGGTTAGCGTTGGACGCCTGCCGTGGAACCAAAGTTGCCGAGCCCTATGATGTGATGTAACAAGTAGAAACTAATACGTCCACAGCAACGATTTTCAAAAGTGGCTTAGTCCCGTTCTGCTTGCTCTATTTGCCTGTTGTCCTGTTTTGGTGGCAACAGGCCGACGAGAGTGCGGCTGCTGCTGCTAAGGCGGCGGCGGCGGCGGCTGCGAAGGAAGCGGCTGAGGCGGTGCCGGCCTTGCGAGAAGTCGGGCAGGATTTGGAGGAGATCGAGTGGTGGGACGAGGCGTTCTTGACCAAGGAAACGCGGGACGCGAAGGTTCGCGTGGTTTCTCCTCTCTATCTTGTTGCTAAGACAAGGAATAAACAACTGCATAGACGAGAGATAGCTTTTAAGTTCCTGACCAAGGAGACACGGGATGCGAAGTTACACGAGCTGTCTTGCTCTTTCTGTTGTTAGTAAGGCAAGGAATACACAATTGCATAGACGAGAGATAGCTTTGGGTTCTTGACGAAAGGGAGTCGGGACGCGAAGGTACACGTGGTTCCTTGTGTATTATCTCTTGTTGCTAAGACAACGAGTATATAGCATTCTTGGGACAAATTAGTCCAGCCTTAATCAGCCATGACCTCATGATGCATCTGATCTCCCAGGGTGTTTCTAGCGACCCTCGCGTAACGTGTATTATACCTACCTATTGCTTTGTCGTGTCATCTCCCTTGTACATCATACCCGTATACTCGATGCTCCCATCTTTTGTTTTATTATCGCCCCGCCCGCAAACCACTGCGACGCCTCTTCCTCCTCCTGTTCTTGTTCTTGGCGTCTTGGTTTGGTTTTCTGCGCGTGAGAACTGTACCTCTCATTTGTTTACCCGATGAACAGTGAAAACGTTCGTGTTCACAGAGTGGTCCGAATAAGGTACTCCTACGCAAACCTCTTGGTGCTAGACGTTGCCACTCCCACTGCCGACTTTGAACCCACCTACTATCGTTCCCAGCACCTTTAAACCGCCCGGCATTGCGTTGTTTTTCCCTCGACGTGCTTGTCGCTCGTGCGAGTAGGCGGCGGGAAAGCTTGAAGCCGAGGCGTGCACCACGGATGCTCTTTACCCCGTCCTCCTGCTAGAGAACGCCAAGACCTTTAAGTACATCCAGCACCCCAAGAAACCGTTGGAGGAGGAAGCGGCGGCGACAGCGGGGGCGGCTGCGGCTGCGGCTGCGGTCGGAGGGGGTGACGGGAAGGCGGCGGCTGGGGGGGGCGCGGATGGGAGCGATGCGGCGGCGATGAAGGTGTACCTGACGAAGAAGGAGCGCAAGAGGATACGCCGCACCACGAGGATGGAGAGGGAGAGGTGCGTTGCTTGAGGATGCTGGAGGGGGGGGGAGGGGGGGGGGGCGGGGGGGGGGGGGGAATTCT